ACGCTATTAAACTCTAATTCCATTTCCCCACATCCCAAGGATGTGAGTGAGATAATGTGTGCATCCTTAGATCAAAACTCCAAGTTTGGCCTGTTTGTTAACTCCATCCCATGTGTGGCCAGCAGCTCCAGACCTCTTCTCTCTACCTTTAAGATGGTTTCCATGCCACTTTTATTCATGTATCAGCCCTGGGTGATTGCTCACTGCCAGGACCAGGCTGGGTGCCCGGGATGCTAGGATTGAGAAGACAGGGAGAACTTGCCTCTTAGAACCTCATTGTCATTTCATATCATTATCATCCTGTTTTTTTGGATATGTAGGTTTCCTCTTCCTTACTTAAATTGCAGTTTTATTATTAACAACCAATGATTGAGCGCTACCTTCCATGCCAGACTCTGTTCATGCCATCTCTCTGACAATCTATTACCACCGGAAGAAGAAATGAGCACACTCATTGGGATCCTAAACCCTTCCATTTCTCACTTAGGACTTCAAAGCTGCAAGAGATCCCTTCCAGATTTCTTTTGCCTGAATTATTCTTTCTATGTGTTGGTTACACAAGCCCCTCTCCCCCCATCACTCCAAGTCCACTATCTGCCTTTCTTTGCCCTGCTCTGGGCCCTGGATGCCTAACTCCTCTGAAAGGCATCACTGCAGCCCTTTGCTTTCTGGTTTCCTTTGGGTTTAGACAAAGGGAGGCACTGGCTAGAGATCAAGGGGCAGGAGAAGATGAGGTTGGAGTATTTTTTTTCCTGATTTGTCTCTGCGTGGGTGCTATGCCTCTGGCAATATCTGGGTCCCTTCATGGCCACAGCTCCTGCTGTCTCTAGCTCTCACCTGGCCCGGAAACCCTTTCTTCTCTTGCCCTTTCAGGCCCAGCGGCAGTGACGCCTTCCAGCTGTTACAAATTATAGCCAATACTGAGCTACAAGTCTCGACTCCATGAGCTTGCAAAAGACATTATTCACTGTCATGGTTTTCCCCATAGCATTACTTCTGATCAAGGAACACATTTCACAGCAAAAGAAGTGAGGCAACAGTCCTGTGCCCATGGGGTCTACGGTTCTTACCTCATAAGGAGCAGCAGGCCAGCTAGACGGTGGAATAGCCTATCGAAAACCTATCTCTGGCAACAAGTGGGAGACAACATTGTGAAAGTTGTGGGTTCTATTTTACAGGGTGTGGAATACACTGAATCAGCAACCAATATCTCTTTCTGTTTTTCCCACGGATAAAATACACAGGTCCAAGTATCCAGGGGTAGAAGCACGGACTCACAGAACTTTGTTCTGTTGTTTTGGAGGTCTGAGTACCCCAGGGAAGAAGGCTTCCACCAGGAGATACAACGGGTTCCACTGAAGTCAACCATCATGGGCTCATCGAGTCCCTAAACTGAATGGCAAAGAAGGCAGTTACGCTCCCTGCTGGGGTGGTAGGTTCTAGTAACCAAGGACAAGTTGGATGGCTGCTACACAGTGAGGGCATAGAGAACCATGTCTGAAACCCATGGGATTCTTGGGGCACCTCTTAGTACTTCCATGTCCAAAAGTAATACTTAGTGAAAAAACAGGCAGAACCACTGAAGATTCAGACCCTTTAGAAATGAAAGTTGAGGGCACTCCACCATGTAAAGAGCCCACACCAGCTGATATCCTGCCTGAGGACACAGGAAGGAAACATGGAATGAGTAGCAGAGGAAGGAAGTTATAAATATCAATCCTGCCTAGTTATCAGCTACAGAAACAAGGACTGTCACGACTATGCATGATTTCTTTCTTAACATGCTATGTACACACCTATATATACACACCCTTATTTCTTCTCTCGCTTCTCTTCCTTCCCTTATATTTATAACATATATAAGGGGGCACCTGGATGGCTCAGTTCTTTGAGCGTCTGACTCTTGGTTTCGCCATGGGTCATGATCTCGGGGTCGTGAGATCGAGCCCCACATCGGGTTCTGAGCAGGGTGCAGACTCTGCTTGGGATTCTCTTCCTCTCCTTTGGCCCCTCCCCCTGCTTTGTTGATGTCTCTTAAAAGCTCAAATAACCTTTGTCCACTTTTCTGCCTTCTTCCGTATTACATTTTCCTCTTCCCTCACCGTTTTGCCCCCAAATCCAGAAACTCAAGTGACCCCGAGACCTCAAATTGGCAGGGGCCTTAGAAATGGAGTTAGAATCAGAGAGTCACGGGTGTAGCAGCAAATTTAAGACTGAAGTTGACAGGTGACAGAGCTCCGACCCAGAGAGGTGAAGCCACTGCCCAGGATTACAGGATGGCGGAGTTTCAGAGTCAAGAGTGAAAGACAGGACTTCGACTCCTAACCTTTGCTCTTCCCACTGCCCCAGGCCCTCCAGCGTGGTTTCTCCTCCTCCACAGTGTCAGACCACTCAGGTACCGAGATTTCATCCATATTCAGAGCTGACGCAGTACAGCTCCCTGGGTACGCTTCACAACCCCTCTAGGGACCCTCTCATGGATGGAAGTCACCCTGTCACAATGGTGACAATCTGCCAGGCCCTGAGACTAGGGACTGGTGAGAAATCAAGGAGGCATACGGTGTGGATCAATAATCCCCAAATGTCTCTCTTGAGTTCCTTCAAAATTTCATAGTTTAGCCATGGAATCCTGAAAATTTACCTATGTTGACTTACGCATAGAGTCAGATTTTTAATGTTCGTAGAACCTTAGAGCCACTTGGAGAGCTTTTTGAAAATACTGATGCCCAGGCCCCACTTCAGACAATTGAACTGAATCTCTGAGAGAGGGGTCCGTGCACTGGTAGGTCTGAAAAATTCCCAGGTGATTCTGGGTACAGCCAGGGCTGGGAATCAGAGCTCTGGGATCCAGAGATCATACTAAACGCTCTGCAAATACCTGGTCTTTAATTTGTCTAAAGTCTGTCTTCAAACACACTGGTATGCATTCTTGGGGATGACCTCCTTCCCTCGTGTTCAGATAAACCCACAGTCTGCTCCAATGGAGAAGTTCTAACTGCTCAGCCTCCCAATCACACTCAGTGCTGTCCCTCAGACAATGCCCCTTGTCCTCTGGTGAAGCCCATCATTCCTACACTGGCTTTCTTCAGCCCCAAATACCCCCACCTCTCACTGAATCCTAAATCTGCCTCCTTGCCTTTTACAAACAAAGATTCTTCCCTAGACAACTGAAAATCATAGCTACTCCTCAGATAAGGAAATGAGACAAATATGGCTCAGCTCTTCTAAATCCATAATTTGTACTAATTTCCACTACATGACTTCCTCATTCCTTCATTCTCCCATGGAATGACTTCTGTCACCAGATTCAGCCTCTTCCTTTTTGAATATCTTGAATAACCCCATGTGAGGATCACCATGTTTGGAACCATCTGGCAAATTACTTCCGGTGGTGTTGGCTCACACACAGCTAAGGTATACGCACGATGAGCATGTCTTCAAAGCAGCAGCTAGAACGTGGCTTCTCTTTCTGCTGGTTTGATACCCTCTCTCCTTTCCTGGTATCCCTATCTCCTCAGAAAAAGAAGTTGACCATTTGTCACTGCTGTTTATGTGTCACATTGTATGCTCTGACAGAAAGACCCTGTGAATCAGCCTGCGCAGTGGTATGTGAACTGGTTCCTCCTAAATGAGTCACTCTGGGGGGTGACAGTCACATATTTCAGGGTGTCAGTGTCAGTCTGTGAGAGGAGGTTGGCGTGCTGCCCCAGTACGTCCCATACAAAAGTGCACTGGTCATTCAAGGGCCCAAACTTCTCATCTGCCCAGACTCATGTTACGCCTCCAGGCAACAATGATTAGCTCCCTGACTTCTAGTTTTCTCAGATACAGATGTCAAATGCAAACTTTTCTTCACGCAAAATCATTTTCCTTTTAATACATTATAGTTTACAAACTTTATAGTTTGACTCCCTGGTGCACCTGTCCTTCTGGGGAAACTTCTAGAACTGGCTGTGACATAGGCATGCAGAGATGTGAAATATGTGGTGTGTGGGCTGTCACTCTCCCCTTCAACAAGCTTGACAGACATCTCTATTGTCTTTTCCTCTAGACCTGGATAAGGCCTCTGTCTTCTCAACACTAGATCCAAGTGGTCAGTATTATTTGCAGCTGGCAAAAAAGAGGGCAAAGCCTGCAGCCCAATACGGCAATGAAAGGAAATGTCTTTGGAACTGCACACACCTAGGTTTGAATCTTAACCCTTCAACTCACCCCTTAGTTTCTTCATTTCAAACTGAGACACTACTACCTACTTCTCATTGGATGGTTGTGAGAATATCTATAAGGCATCAAAGACCTCTCCTAGCACAATAAATGTGGGTTCCTCTCTCTTTTCTCCCCATCACAAGACATTTCTTTGAAGAGTTAATGAACATTTTCTTTTTTTTTTTTAAGATTTTATTTATTTATTCATGAGAGACAGAGAGAGAGACAGACAGAGGCAGAGGGAGAAGCAGGCTCCCCGCGGAGCAGGGAGCCCGATGCGGGACTCGATCCCAGGACCCTGGGATCATGCCCTGAGCCGAAGGCAGACGCTTAACCGACTGAGCCACCCAGGCGTCCCTAATGAACATTTTCTTAAGTAATTTTAGGGTTAGAGATAAATAACACAGTCCCAAGGAAAAATAAGATCAATGTTTGGGTGAGAGGAATGGATGTGCACGGATAAAAACGATACAATTTTCACAGTTTACAGAGGAAGAGCCTGGAAATTCTGGAAATTCTAGCTGTAGGGGAGGCCCCAAAGATAAGAAGACAAGGCAGTGAGGATGTGCTTTTGAAAGCTAAGAAATGGTAATGGGGATGATGAGCAAGAAGTGAAAGTACATGTCAAGTTTATAAGAAAATGGCAAAGCATCATAAGTTGCTGGTAAACTAGCTATAAATTGAATAAAATTCTTCAATGAGGTTGCCACACCTTGTTCCAACTACTTGATCCTGTCTTCTTTCTAATGAATCATCAGGACCCATAAGGCACGGGGTGGCCATAGAGCAATGGGACTCATTGCCAGAAGTCCAAAGTGAGAAAAATCAGTTCCAGCACTCTGGAGCACATCCAGTTAGTGCTTAGTAATAAGGAAAACCAACATTATATTCACTGCTGCCAAAGTCATCACAAACATGCTTTCAACGACTACAAGAGCAGAAAGGAAAAGGCCTGGGACCGGGACGGCCATGCCTCTTACTCACCAGGTAGCCTCGGTGGGACTTCGTTTCCCCCTCTGCAAAATGAAGAGGCCAGCTCACATGGGTGGATGACGTATCAGGGTATTTTTGGTTCTAGGTAACAGAAAAGTACTGGCTTAAATTATAAAGGGGACTTACTGGCTCATGTCATTGAAGAGCCCAAGAAGATCTGAAGAGCTTCGGGGCTAGCTCGAACACCTTAACTGGGAACTAATTTCCCCCCTCACCATTTCTTGGCTCTGCTTCCTTGGTGAGACCTCGGCCAACTCTCTGATGGTAAAAGGGCTTCCAGCTGTTCCCCGGGGCTGCAAGCCCTCACTCAGGGACAGTGCAAAGGGAAGATCTTTGTGCCAAAGGACGTCAGCAGCAGAAGTCCCGAGACGTACTCTGACCACAGCTTCTGAGGTCACATGCCCCTCCCTGAACCAATCACTGCCACAGGGGATGGAATGTGCTGATTGGCCAGGCCTAGGTCATGTGGCACTAGGTCCATTCCCACGGCTGAGGGTGGATTCAGCCTCCGGACCGCTGCATGGGTTCCCACGTGGAACTGGAACAGTGGGAAAGCAGGAAGGAGAGAAAGAAAGGTGCACAGTCAAGCAACACACTTTCGTGACCAGTGAAGGTCAAACATTTTGGGGGTGAACAGAACCCCAATATACAACATATACACAAATGGAGCTTCACTCGGTGACGCGGGAGTGGGGATTTAAAGCCCTGTCTTCTGTTGCTCCTAAGAGCCCTGCTTAGAAACCTAGTGCTCCAGGAAACAGATAAAAGTAATGTCTTTGGGTCCGTTCAGCTCTGTTCCTTGCTACTGCTTAATAAGCAAATATCTACTAGGATAACATGTCAACCGTCTTCAGGCGCTTCTGCAGGCCTTGTGCTATTTGTTCTGTGCACAGCTCTGTGAACTAGGTAGGACATTAATCTTTATTAAGAATATGCTTTATAGTTACAGGCTTCTCAACGTAAAGATGGATCAGCACCCAGCTATCATTTTTCAAGCTTACCAGACCTTGCAACCATCTACCCCAGTTTCTGATAAAGACCAGGCCAATGAAGCCACACATCACCACAAATAGCTAAGAAATCTGACTATACATGGAGCCAGGGGGAAAGGGCATGAAAGCAATAGGGAGACAAAGGCTTTCTTCAAATGAACAGTGATGAGAAATTTCGTTTCCTGAAAGACCCAGGGAATTAACAAAATACTGTATTCACTTTGAAAGTCATGTGGAAAACATTTTACGTTTTGAAAAAGTGGAAGTTTCTCTTAGTAAGTAAGAGCTTTGACATAAAAACCTGAAATACTTAGGAAAATTGTGGGTTTTTTTAGTTCTGGTAACATGGACATAACATAAAATTTACTTTCTTAACTATTTTTTTTAAAGATTTTATTTTTAGAGAGAGAGAGAGATTGAGAGCAGGGGAGGAGTAGAGGCGGAGAGACAGAGAGAATCTCAAGCCAACTCCACGCTGAGCCTGGAGCCCGACGAGGGGCTTGATCTCACCGCATGAGATCATGACCTGAGCTGAAACCAAGAGTCAGAGGCTCAACAGACTGAGCCACCCAGGAGCCCCTCCTATCTTAACTATTTTTAAATGTACAGCTCAGTGACATTAAATGCATTCACACTGTGTTGCAATCCTCACCACTGTTCATCTTCAGAACTCTTCTCATCTTGCAAAATGAAACTTCATACCCATACCCGCCCCCACAGCCCCTTGGTAAGCACCCTTCTACTTTCTATGAATCTGACTACTCCGGGTACCTCGTATAAGTGGAATCATACAGTATTTCTTTTTTATGGCTGGCTTATTTCACTTAGTATTCACAAAATTCATCCATGTTATAGCATGTCAGCATTTCCTTCTTTTTTTAAGGCTGAACTGTATGTATATACTATGTTTTGTTTATTCATCATCTGTCGATGGACAGATGTAAATAATGGAAATAATGCTGCTATGAATATAGGCATAATAGATCTTTTCAAGACCTGTCTTCAATTCTTTTGGATATACACATTCTGAGAAATGAAGTTTCTGAATCATATGGATCAAATACTTTTAATGACACAGTTTTGTGAAATTCTTTAATGTATATTTAAGGTAGCAAATACTCACTGAGAATTCAGTGATTTCATTTTATAGTTTGACAACAGATACAAAATATCCATAGATATAAAAGAGAAAGCAACCAGACAATCTTTCGGAAGATCAAGTAGCTTCTTTCCTGTTCACAGAGATTTAAGCTATTAAGGGTTCAATTGTGTTCTAGGTTTGCATCTGTGTAGGTCTTGCAATCACAAAATCAAGTGTAAGGGATCCATAGTTTAATCCAGGTTTAACTCAGCACAGATCCAAGAAAACAAGGCCGTGCTTCAGGAGTGAGACAAAGAGGAGCTTCTTCGGCCAGCAGGGAGAGACTGCTAGGTTACTCAGATGTAACCTATTTTTGCTTATCTATCCCACAGCCTTCCTTTTCAATCCGGACAGGCCACAGTGACAATGGAAACATGTCTCTGTTTCTTCCTCAGTGGGGAAAAGAACATCTCCTTGTGAAGATAGTTTCATTGTCTGAAAGTTATTTGTATCAAAGGTTCCATTTAATCAAATTTTAACTACTTCTAAACATTATTTCTTAAAGCGAGTTGGCGAGTTCTCCACAATTGATGCCAGCTACGAAAACAATCATGCTTTCAAACCAAGAACTGTGGTATTGAAACTTCTCCCAACTCAATCGACTTCACTGAAAAAAGAAAGCTAGCATTTTGCTCACATAAAATGGCAGTAACTCAAGCACAGGCTTCATATTGTGTCCTGGCTGGTGAGCAGCTGACACATAATAATTTGGAGTTGGGACGGTTGGAGAGAAAGAGTGTGTATCTCTCTACAATGAAGAAAGGCCCCACTTTGGGTCAGGGCGATTCTACGGTGAAACGGCTGGGGAATGTTTCAGATGTGGCAACGAAGACACTGTCTCGTTCACACACTCATTAATAGTATCACCTTTCATTAATTGGGTAACAACAGATAATGAAAATTAATCAAACAAAACCCCTTTTGACATAGTGTTCAAAGGTGATGTCATAGACCATTGAGTGAACCATGCTTTTTTTGCTCAAGAGACTTCTCTCTGACTGTAAGTCATATATTCCCAGGATGATTTGTGAATCAGGAACTAGGCTGGTTTTGTTGGAACAAAAACTAAGAATGCTAAATATCTTCCAGAATGTCTTTCAGATGACTGAAGTCACTGCTACTTTAGACTCTCTTACCTGAACGTTTCTATGTTATCACCTTGTAACCTAGGTTTCCAACTGAAGATACAGGCTTCCAGCGAAGATACAAGATTGTGGAGTACAGTGAATGAGCGGCTCCTCCCCCACCCTGTCCTGTTCCATCCTTCCTCCCTCTTCCCAGGGGCATCTCTTTCTCACCTGTCATATGTTGCCAACATCCTATTGTGTTATGTATGTCCTTTATATATCATTACTGTCTTTGGAGCCAAGATGGCTAAAGAGCATTCTTGCTAAGCGCATTCTTGTCTCTGTGTTTTTCCTCCTAGTGCAGTCCGGGTCAACTTCTAGTGTGTATAAGAATCCCCAGGGGGGTAGTTTTATTTATTTATTTTTTAAAAAGATTTTGTTTATTTATTTGTCAGAGAGACAGAGAGAGAGACCACAAGCTGGGGGAGCAGCAGGCAGAGGGAGAACCAGGCTCCCCGCTGAGGCTCGATCCCATGACCTGAGTCGAAGGCAGAAGCTTAACCACTGAGCCACCCGGGTGTCTGGGGGCAGGGGGGATAGCTTTAAATGCAAATTCCTGGGCCTGCCTCCAGAAACACCAATTCAATAGGGGTAGAGAGAAGCCCAGGAATCTGCATTTTAATAAACACCACAGGCAATTCTGAGCAGGTGACTGGTTGACTTCATGTCCCCAAGGATGACACCCAGCTTCTCTGCCCCAGCTCAGTCTGGTGAGGAATGAGTTCCCTTGGTGGAGTGTGGCAGTTCCCAGACTCCCCCCAATGCATTTGAAGTCGACCACACATTTCCATAAATACAATTTGCCAGATTCTTTTCTGTGGTTAATCATTGCGAGGAACTGATTCAGGCGGTAGGGTCCGGTCACACTTCTACACGGCTCAGTGTAATTAAGGGCGGAAGTTCCTGTTTGGGGTGCTCCACAGCTGCCATGAACCGTGACTGACAGATTGGACAGGTAGAAATTCCAGACAAAATACCAGCTCCTACAGAGCTTTGTGAGCTGGGAAACTGGCCAATTCCTGCCCTTTGGTGTCAGTTTCTCATGGGCAAGGGCGCTATGTCTTACCTCTCCTAGGTGTAAGGACGATAAATGATTAAAAAACCAGAGTCGAATGACATGCCATCCGTGAGATCCAACAATGGGACATTTAGCAAAGGGCTCTGCCACCACTGTGAGAACTTCTTAGAAGGTCTACTGTGTTGCCTTCTTAGAAGCTTGCCTAGAAGAGACCAAAAAAAATCCAGCGTGAAGCACATTCTTTAAACCAGGTGCTCAACTGGACTCCTACTCAGCCAGCAGTACCTATAATCTTTTTTTTTTAAAGATTTTATGTATTTATTTGATATTTATTTATTTATTTATTTATTTATTTATTTATTTATTTATTATTAGAGCGAGAACATGAGTGGGGAGAGGGGCAGAGGGAGAGGGAAAAGCAAACTCTCCTCTGAGCAGGGAGCCCGAGGAGGACACAGGACTCGATCCCAGGACCCTGGGATCATGACCTGAGCTGAAGGCAGACGCTTAACCCACTGAGCCACCCACATGCCCCCAGAAGTACACTTAATCTTCATGACCCTTTGAGATAAACGAGTAGGTTATATAACTTCCTTCAGATTACAGGGAACAGAGAAGCCACCATTTCCCGGGCTGCATCCACAGCCAGGAGACCCTGGCAGGTGAAGAAAAGGTCTAAAGGAGAACCAGAACTCACTGATCCAACCTGAGCCCTTTCACTTTTTAAAATCACACACTGTAGGGATGGCTGGGTGGCTCAGTTGGTTAAGTGTCTGCCTTCAGCTCAGGTCACCATCCCGCATTCTGCTCAGCGGGGAGCCTGCTTCTCCCTCAGCTTGTGCTCTCTCTCTCTCTCAAATAAATAAATAAATAAAATCTTAAAAAAAGTAAAACACACTGTAATTGCATAATTAGGTAATATGTGGCTGAATTATTCTTGTAAAATCATTACGGGTGAAGCTAAATTCCTCTTTGATCCTCTTCCTCTGCAAATATCTTATTCCTTCAGGACAGATCCACTGCTTTCAGTTGGTGAATATCCTTTGGTACCTGGCTGTACACATGCACATCCAGATACCCATACCCTTGGAAAACATACAATGTGGTTTTATGTACGTGTATATGTGTTTTGTGCATATGGTCTTTAAACAGAAATGGGATCCCAGCATATACATCACTCTGAAACTTTCCTTTTGCACAGAACAACACATCCTAGAGATCTGTTATTGCCTGTGCATATAAATCTACTTTACTGGCTCTAGCTGTTGCCAGGCCTTCCAGACTATGGGTGCCCCCTGTCCATTCAGGCAATCCCTTATTGGTGGACACTTGAATTGTATCCATGGTTTTGCTAAAACAAAAATGGTATAGTGCACACATCCCCATGCATGCCTCCTGGGCATATGTATGTTTCTCTAAGGTAGATACTACAAAGTGAAATCGCTGTGGTATGGGGTATGCCTATTTTTATTTTTAATAGATAGGACCAAATTGTCGCAAAAATAGATGTATTGATTTACACCAGTGGTGTATGAGAGAATGTATCTCCTTGTCTTTGCCAACAGTGTTATTATTGATTTAAAAAGTTTTGCTGGTCTACCAGCAGAGAAAGTGGATCTTGTTTTACTTAAATTTATATTTTCCTGATTTCTGGTCTGGTTGGCCATTATTTCATGTTTGTTGGCCACCTATTCCCTTATTTATGATATCCTCATGTATTTTTTCAGTCAGAAGTTTCAGATTTTGATGTGGTCACATTTATTGAGCTCTTGTTTTATGAATTTTGCTTTTTAATGTCCTTTTTAGGAATGCTTCCCCTAGGTTATAAATATCTTTTTGTGTATTTTCTCCTATTTCTGGATCAGAGCTCTGCCTGAATCTACGCGTCTTCTACTGGGGCTGGTAGATGAGGCAGGATGCTGAGCTGCTGTCCAGGAAGCAACAGTGTGTGCTTTCAATAGGATCCAGCTGCAGGGCAGGACTTAAGAATGGGCTTCTTAGGCTGCCTAAGGGGACTGGCTTATGTGACAGCAAGAAGCTTTTCTGGGGAACATCATAAAGCAAAGAGAAACTTTCCAGCTATCCAGAAAAGGTATGCAATGGCTTTCTCTGGAGATGACCATAACCCAAGACAGATACGCACTTTGTTTAGGACACTTAGGGTAACTCCACCTGGAGAGGCTCAAACAATCTGCTCCAAGATTGAGGGTCTTCCCATAGACAGCATTGTCTAATGGAAATACAATGTGAGCTACATAAGTATTTTTAAATTTCTGGTAGCTACATGAAAGAATCAGTAAAAAGAAACAAGAAAACTAATTTTAAGGATTTAATCTAATATTTCCAAAACAGTGTCATTTTAACATGGAGTCAATATAGCATATTATTGGCGGCACATGGGTGGCTCAGTTGTTAAGTGTCTGCCTTTGGCTCAGGTCACGATCCCAGGGACCTGGGATCGAGTCCCACATCAAGTTCCCTGCTCGGCGGGAAGCCTGCTTCTCCCTCTCCCACTCCCCCTGCTTGTGTTCCCTCTCTCTCTGTCTCTCTCTCTCTGTCAAATAAATAAAATATTTTTAAAAAAGTAAAAAATATAGCATATTATTAATGAGGTATTAAAAATCTTTTTGTACTGAGTTCTTGACATCTAATGTGTATTTTACACTCACAGCACATCTCAGTTCAGATAACCACATTTCCAGGGCTCAACAGCCACCTATGTCCAGTGGCTACCGTGCTGGAAAGCGCAACCCTGAGGATTAAGAGCAGAATATCCAAGATGTGCTGGGAGGCATCTTCTCTGTGAGTATGAAGGTGTTTAGGTGACCACAGTCTGAATGTTAAGTTCACTCTTCACCCTCCCCTGCAGCCCAGTCTTCTTCCTGCCAAAAGTGTATCATAAATTCAATTATTCCCACCTACTGATGTGGATTAATCATCCCAAAGCAGTTTTGCTTGGATTATTTCTTGGAGAGGATGTTGTTGACTTTTAGGAGGAGGTGATCATTCAGCTGAAACTTGGAGGGTAGGTAGGAATTAGCCAGGGGGTCAGAGAGGACGGTATGAACAAGGGGGTCGCTGGAATGGACAGGCTGGGGGAAGAGCAGACATCAGACCCCAAGTCTCTGCTGAGGTTAATGGGGGTCATCCAACATTTGTCAGTAGGGGGTACGGGAGAAAGGCAAGACCAGAGACAAGGAAACTAGTGAAGAAAGTGCAGGTTCCAGATAAGAATTACGGAGGGTCTGATCTAAGGCAATTATTCATTCGTTCATCCATTCCACAAACATTTGCCAAGTGTCTATTGTGTGCAGAAAAAAGCAGAGAAAATCCGTGACCTCATAGAACTTCAATATCTTGTAGGAAAGGAGGTAAATGGTGAGTGATGGAGAGTGTTCCTCAGTTTCAGATCTCGCGTGGTGAATGTGGGGCCATTAATTCTCTGAGACAGAGGATCAGGAGGCAGAGCAGGCTCGGGAAGAAAGGTTCGGGTTTGGCTTATCTTTTTTGACAGATGTTTGGGGTGTTTGGGGGACACCTAAGTGGAGCTGTGTGGCAAGCAGCCGCACAGACATATTTGGAGATCAGGAGATCTGGAAGGTGTTGACTTGCTAGAATGCAGGATTCATTCATTTGTTCATCCATGTATTTGACAGCTACTGAGAAAACCTAGAATGTGCCACGCACTGTACTAAATGCAGAGGATTCAAAAGTGAGCAAAACAGATATGATCCCTACCTTTGTAGAGCTTCAAATCCAATAGTGATAGCGGCTGATAACAAAGCTCAAGCCATCACGTGTGAGGGGGGGAGGAGGTAGGGATCTAAACATGTGAGGGAGGAATTGGGGTAGTGGGCTAGGCCAGACTATCAGAGACCTTCAATACCACGCTAGGGAGACAGAAATCCGCCTCGATCTGTTACCAAGCCCTGCCTCCCCAACAGTGCTCACTTTTGTCCGGTCCTCTCACTGCCCCTTCGCTCAGAGCAGGCCACCGCCTCCTTCTTGAAGGGAGATGACAGGTCCTCTAAAGGGCCTCCTTGCCTCTCATCTCCCCCACCCCCACCCCCACGTCCAATGCAAACAGAGTGATTTTTCAAAATGAAAAGATGATGTTACATTCTGTGGTAGGCAGAAGGCTAAGATGGCCCCATGATCTCCATCCTTCTGGTGTTACTCTTTGTTTCTGATGTTACGTTATATTGTGCAGCACAAGGAATTCTGCAGGTACAGTTAAGGCTACTAATCAGTCGACCTTAAAATGGGGAAATTATCCAGGTGAATACACCTAATGAAGTGAGCCCTTTAAAGGCAGGGAGTTTCTCCAGTGAGGAAAGGGCAAGTCACAGATACTCAAAGCCAGGGAGGTCTCGAAGGATTCGACATGCTGTTGCCGGCTTGAAGATGAAGGGGGTCATGCAGAAAGGACCTAAGAAAGGCTTCCAGGAGTGGGAAGCGAGCTCCAGCAGCCAGCCAGCAAGGAAACAGGGACCTCCCTCCTCCAACTGCAAGGAACTGGATTCTACCAACAACCTGAGCGAGCGTGCAAATGGGTTCCCTCCCAGAGCCTCCACATGAGAACGCAAGCCAGGCAACAGCCTGCCTATAGCCTTGGGAGACCCTGAGCTACGAAGCCAGCCGTGCCATACTGGACTTCTGATTTCCAGAACTACAAACTCATAGGCGTGTGTTATTTCAAGCCACTAAATTTACGGTGATTTGTTCCACAGCACTGGAAAACTAATACACCCCGTGGTTTCTAACCCTCCAACAAAACCTCCTTCATGGACTTGCCAGGTCTCAGCATCTAATCCTTATAAGAGTCCTACTAGGTGGGTATTTTATTATCACCATTTCACAGGTGAAAAAACTGAAGCTCAGAAAGGCAAAATACTTTTCCTAAGGTTACCAAGCTAGTGACAGGGCGAAGATTTTCACTCAGATAGTCTGAACTCAGAATCCACATTCTATGGCTTCTCACGGCCCTTAGAGTAGGTTCAAATCCCCATGCGAGGTATTAGAGACCCTTCCTGATCCAGCTCCTGTTCACTCATCCAAGCTTGTTCTTCCACCCTCCTCTCACTTCAGCTCCCTGTAGCTCGAGTAACTGCCATGCTCTCAATTTCCTGCCTTTCCACATCGTGCTCCTTCTGCCTGGGATGCTGCTTGCCTCTTCCCTCTGTTTTTCCTTTGGCTGACCCAAATGGTGATTTTGGCCTTGCCTAAGATGCCACCTCGCCGGGGGAGTCCTTCCTTGGCTTTCTCAGGCTGGGTAGATACTACTTCAGCATTCCCCTAGCACCTCATACTTCCCTTACCAGAGCCCAGGAGACCCTGTGTTGGTCACGTTTACTCAGCTGGGCTCTTCCCTAGATTGTGAACTCCTTGGGGGCCAAGACTGTGGTATGTTCATCACCAAATCCCTAGCACTGTGTCTGGAGCCAGTGGGTACTCAGTATTTACCGAGTGCATGAGTGAATGAATAAAAGCACTTTATTCAGGAGGCAATGGCAGCCATCCAAGGTCTTGCAGTAAGGGAGTGACCTTATCAGACCTGTGCTTACAAGGACAGGCTGAGGGCAAGTCTGGCAACCAAAAGACGATCATCACCAACATGTGAGGATGAAAAAAGTTCATTTACACCATGGTCTTGGATTTCTGGGGCTGTGAAACTTGTTTCTTTTCTCTTCTTGACCACATCTGGATACTGGATATGCCAGAAACTGTCACGGTCCTGAAGGTGGGAGGCTCTCCTAAAGAGCTCGTGACTGGGGTTTAGGCCCCGAAATCTTGCTAGAATTAGGCGCCTCCGGCCAAGAAGGCTGTGCGAAGCCAAGGCTATGTGGGGAGCCACCGACATTGACCATGCATGCGGGGAACCTGGAGCGGTCTCTGAAGATCCCACTCACGCCTAGACCTCTCCATCTCTACACTTGCTCGAGGAGCTCACGGCCCGTCTACTTCTCCTTAAATGTGTAAATACCGCTTCCTGATGAGGAGGGCTGGAAGGCCTTCCGCGTTCCAGGCACGCGGCGCTTACAGCTCCCAGCTGGAGGTCACGCGATGCGGTCGGAGCGTCTCTGTTAGGGACGCCGCGCATCTTGGTTTCCTCGTCTGCGCAAAAGACACTCCCCAGACGGCGCGGCCTTGAAGGCCCGGGGGGGGGGGCGGGGGGCGCCGCGAAAGGTGATAAAGTCAAGGTGCGTACAGCTAGCTCTACACGCAAGGAGGGAAGCCAGTGGGCCGAGGGAGACGCCGCGCTGATCCCCGCCTAGGCACGGGCTCCAGCCCTTGAGCAGAAGGGTCTCCGAGTCCTCCCTCGTGCCGACGCGAAACCGTGCGGCGCGTCCGCGGAAGGGGCCGAGATTCCCGCCGCGGGCAGCGGGAGAGAGGGCTTGGACTGGGCGCTCGGGGAGCGGCGAGGCTGCGAGGGGCGGCTCTGGGCGCTGCGCCTCCCGCGCTCCGGCCGCAGTTCTGGGCGCTGGGGGCGGGCGGGGGAGGAGCCACGTGGGGAGGAGCAAAGCCTGGAGGCCCCGGGAACCTTGGGCAAAGCCAGAGAGGCGAGAGCCGGATCCCGGGCGCACGGCCCCGGGAGAGCGCGCCGTCCGGGCCGAGCGCCGCGGCCGGTTCCGTGCGCAACCGGGCAGAAGGGCCAGTGCTGACGGGGAGAGGCTCCCAGGCTCCTCAACCGTCGCAGAGCTGCTGGGCTGCCCGCCGCCCCGCCGGGGCCCAGCCCGACCCGCCACCTGCGTCCCGGTTGCGCCATGGATCCTTCGGAGAAGAAGATCTCGGTGTGGATCTGCCAGGAGGAGAAGCTGGTGTCTGGTCTCTCTCGCCGCACCACCTGCTCGGACGTGGTGCGGGTGCTGTTGGAGGACGGCTGCCGGCGGCGACGGAGGCAGCGGCGGGGCCGGCGGCGGGGGGCGGCCGGCGACTCGCCAGGCCGGGAGGAGCTGCGGGAACTCCTGGACGAGGACGACGAGGGCGACGACGAGGCGCTGCCGCAAGGCATGCTGTGCGGGCCCCCGCAGTGCTATTGCATCGTGGAGAAGTGGCGGGGCTTTGAGCGCATCCTGCCGAACAAGACGCGCATCTTGCGCCTCTGGGCCGCCTGGGGCGACGAGCAAGAGAATGTGCGCTTCGTGCTGGTGCGCAGCGAGGCGTCACTACCCAGCGCGGGCCCCCGCAGCGCCGAGGCGCGCGTGGTACTCAGTCGCGAGCGCCCCTGCTCGGCCCGGGGGGTCCCGGCGCGGCCCAGCCTGGCTCTGACCCAGGAGAAGCAGCGGCGGGTGGTGCGCAAGGCCTTCCGCAAGCTGGCCAAGCTCAACCGGCGGCGCCCGCAGCAGCCGTCGTCGCCCTGTTCGTCCGCTTCGTCGTCCACCGCCTCGTCGTGCTCGTCTTCGCCGCGGGCCGCGGAGAGCGCAGCGGTGGAGCGCATGGAGACGCTGGTGCATTTGGTGCTCTCACAGGACCACACCATCCGTCAGCAGGTGCAGCGGCTCCGGGAGCTGGATCGCGAGATCGATCGCTATGAGGCCAAGGTGCACCTGGACCGCGTGCGGCGACACGGAGTCAACTACGTGCAGGACACTTACTTGGTGGGCGCCGGCATCGAGGTCGACGGGCCCAGCCCGGGAGAGGAGCCGGAGGCGGCTGCGGCTCCCCCGGACGGCGAGGCGCAGGCGGCCGCGCTGGAGGAGCTGGCCCGGCGGTGCGACGACCTGCTGCGCCTGCAGGAGCAGCGAGCCCAGCAGGAGGAGTTGCTCGAGCGCCTCTCAGCCGAGATTCAGGAGGAGCTGAACCAGAGGTGGATGCGGAGGCGCCAGGAGGAGCTCGCGGCGCGGGAGGAGCCCCTGGAGCCTGACGGCGGCCTCGACGGCGAGCTGCTGCTGGAGCAGGAGCGGGTCAGGACGCAGCTCAGCACCAGCCTGTACATCGGGCTCCGGCTCAACACGGACCTGGAGGCCGTCAAGTCGGATTTGGATTACAGCCAGCAGCAGAGGGACAGCAAGGAGTGCGAGCTGCAGGGCCTTCTCCAGACTTTGCACACGTTGGAGCTGACGGTAGCGCCCGATGGGACTCTCGGCTCTGGCGGACCCTCCCGGGAACCCCGGCCCCAGGGCTGCGCCGAGGTGTGGGTGGATCAGGCCCGCGGACTGGCCAAGAGCTGTCCTGGCAACGACGAGGACTCGGATACCGGGCTGAGCTCTATGCACAGCCAGGACTCGGACTCAGTGCCTGTGTGCGAATCTCTTGTGTAAGAGGAGCAGGGTGGAGAGGGGCACGACCCTTCTCCCTTCCTCGCAGAAAGCACTGGCATGGCCGGCTCAGGGCCTTGAAACCAGGCTGGGGGTGGGCCGGGGAGCCCTGCCAGGTAGCAGCGCTCCCACCGGGCGGGCGGGGGCGGGGGGGCTGGGGACACCTGTCCTGCGAGGGCGCTCCTCTGGTTCCCCAGTGAGTATAGAGGGGTGCGGGACAGGGAGGCCGGGTCTCCATTCCAAGCTCTTTCTGGGGAAGGAAGGAGGGAGGCGGTGAGAACCACCTGTACTGGAAAACAAAAGCCCCAGGGAAACTGACGTGGTCCGAACCCATTTTCAAAAAGAAAAGAAAAGAAAAGAAAAGAAGTATTATGAAGATTTCAGCAATCTTCTGTATGGGAAAGACTGATGGCAGCTAGAACTTTAGTTTGCGGTGTAAAGTGCTTTTAAAAGAAACTCTTGGATGAAAAGGAAATTCCTTGAATGTTAATTGTGACTGTGAACGTGTTAAAACTAGCCAAAGAGGAGTGCTGGTGTTGGTCTCAGCCTTACTTACATCTCTGATAAAACCCGCAGGCACCCAAATCCTGGCTCTTTACCTTCCTGCAGACTGGGGAATTACCCCTCTGCTAAACTGCTCATCTTTTATTTTCTTTCAAAGGCTGAGCTGTATGGAAGTCTAACCCTGCATTTCCTCCTTGCAAATACAGTATGTGTTAAAATAGAATCCTTTCCCTAAAATAACCTTTTATTATTACAAAAGCCAAACATAACACTTTTGAGATAGAGAAGCCTGGCAGACATAATCCCTGGTTACTGTTTAATCGAGACCCTTTGGGATTTGCCCCTGCAAAGGGACCTCTGCTGTCCTTTCTTTTCATTCATGTTGTCGCTTCATCCACTGAATCACTGTTACTCCAAGAAAAATAAAAGGGAAGTTGCAGAATTCAAGTGAAGTGCAACTAAAGTTGCTATCTAATGAGCACTCTGGTTGAAACGGAGACTTGAAAGCAAAGATCTTTGTTAGTGTTCAGCTTTTGAACTAAGCTATATGATTAAAACCAACCATGACCTCAAGGTATTTTTACCCCAACCCAAGTCTAACTTCAGTAGCTTTGGTCAGAGATTAATTAGTTACTTGTCCAAGCCTAAATTGAGAGTGCAAATATCAACGTTTACTAGATAAGGCCCCCAAAAGAAAACGTAAAATAAAACAATCTAATAGTACACCTTGGGTGAGCAATTTGATTAACCAGGGCATGTAGCCACAGATAAATGCATAGAAAAGTGAGCTTAAAGGTGACTTGAATTATTCTTGTCTGGCTCATGCCTTTGCACACACCCAGAGATACGAGTGCAACCCCTCTCTCTTAATAGCTGGTGATGGGGCCCTGGTGGGGACCCAGTGTAATTGTTCCAGTTATTTCAATGAAAAGTTATCAGTTGTAGCTAGTTGTTGCCCCGTGGAAGGAGCCTGTTGGCCCTGTTCCCTCTGGAGCTCAGGACTTCTGAGGAATGTGGGATCTAATCTGTCCTGAGGAGGTATTAACAATGGGGTGTGTGTGTGGTACCAGCCTGCTGCAGAAGCCTGGTATCAGCTTAGCCATGGAGGGGCTGGCTCCAGTTTCAACACCACATGTGAAGATAACTTAAAAGGTCTTGCTTTATCAAGAAATTTCTTTCCTTCGAGAGATTCTCTGTCTGCTTGTTGCTAACGGGGACCTGCCCACCTGACCCCCTCAAACCATTTGAGCTATGTCCTTTTTGGAGACAACCCTCCTCTCCGCCCCCCCCCCCCCCGCCATGCTATTAAAGCACAGGTGGATATTGCAGATTTTCAAGTAAAATGGGAATGAAATGGCCGTTTTCTTAATTGATGTTTTCAAAAGACATTAGCTGGCATAATTATGGTTTTTTAGTTTCGTCGGATGCAGAAAACATCTATGCATTTGGTCTTGAGCATGATTAAAATGAGGAGGGGACTGAAAGAAAGCCACTGTCCCTAGATGATCATTTGATCTGGTAAACACAAAGCCTAATGATAGCTTCCCTTTTGAGGCAGAGGTAAAATCCTCATTAGAGTGTGACAGACGATACTTGTCTGAATGGTTTATGCTGGCAAAGGGCTGACCTGGTGGTTTTAAAATTATTGTGCTTTTTTTTTGGTCCCCCAGAGTGGTAGGGGAGGTGGTTCTTAGATGTTTATTAACTCAAAAGAGAACACAGAAGTTGGCAGAACAGGACAGCCTGGCAGAAAGGGGCTGTTTCCCTTTTCACTATTATTATTTTAAACTCTGACAGGCTGCTGACATCAGCAAATATGCCTGAAGCCTGTAAAGCAAATTAAGCCACATCACAGGGAGAAGGGCTGTGGGATTCTCTGGTGCCCTCTTTCCAGAACCTTCCTGTCCTGTCTACCTGAAGATGCTTCTCCAGTCAACTCTTCAGGCAGTGTGGAGGCTCTGTTTATAACAAATGGCAGCCCAGTCTGCCCATTTCTCCTTTCATCCAAATCAATTATGTCCCCAAAAGGCACTCTCTGTGTGGGTAGGAGAAAGGAGAAGGGCAGGGGGGTGGGGTGAAGGGGTGCCAAAATAGAAAGGAGACAATAGCTCCTTTTACTAAGAGCTTTCGCAAGCCTGAGAGAGGCAGAATATGGATATAAAAAGGACCAACACAACACCTGTGCCTAGAAAGTGCCTAATAGATTCTAGATGTTGAAAAAACATCATTTCACTTAAAAAATAATCATCCTGGCACTAAGAATGAGAATGAATACATCGAGGTGAAAGCCTCAGCACTAAGGATGTCAGAGCCCCTGGGAGAAGTGACCCCTCTCCTGGTGTCTGAGCAGAACAGAAATCCTGGGGAGGAACTGGCAAGCTCGCGGAGGACAAGACGAGGCCCCATCCTTGTTGGAAACTGATAGAATGTATCATGGCTTTGATCTTAAGTATCTCTTTCTCAGCCATCTCCCAAACCTGAAAGATTTCATCTGGTATCTCTGTGTGTTTGCTTATAAAACGTGATGATGATAATTTGCTAATTAGACAAGTTATATACTATGGTCCTTAGGATGAACCTGAAAATAGCAACAGTAAAAAGAAAGAAAAGTCACTCAAGATCCTTATCACTGCTAAAATTTGACATATTTTCCTTCCTGAACTTTTGAATTGTGAAGGTTTCATATTTTGCTTCTTTTTTAAGAAAATAATTTAAATGAGATTGTATAGATGCTTTTATGCTCAGGTTTTGACCTTGTAAAGGCTCTACCTGTCTGTTGGATGCTCCATTGTGCCTGTAACTCTTCTCATGTAAGTAGGTTGTCCCTGATAATTTTTTACTGTTATAACATAACGCTGTGATAGGCTTCTTTGGGCATGTGTACATTTTCCCCAGTAAAATGGAAAGAGACTTCCTAGGTCAAAGAGTACAAACATTTAAGGACTTGATACTTAATTGCCAAATTGCTTTTCGAAAGATTTGTTCTAGTAACAACCTGCTATGGGTGATGGGGCCTATTTCCCCACACCTTGGCTTTCATTAGCTACTACATTTTGTTAAGAAAACATTTTAACCAGAATTAATTAATTAGTACTTTGTGGCTCTTGGAATGCAGGGCTGGCAACCACTGGCTTAAAATAACCTTACAACAGAAATGTGGATTGTCTGACCAGAAGTGTTAAGAGGATGTGGTGCTTTCTCTCCTTCCTGTTTTCCTTGTCTTCCCAGAGCACCTGCTTTGTAATAGCGATCTTGTCTCCTATCAGAGCTTGCCAACAATCTGAGCAGGAGGGGCAGAAACTCCACACGAGCAAGAGCAGGAGAATTAACACGTAAGAGAAACAGATTTATAAAAAGTAAATGTTCTTTAACTTTTTTTCATCTTTAGTCCATGAGAAAAGGTTATTCTTAGAAGATGATGTTATAACATGTATTTGATTTTGTGCTTCTCCCTACCCACTCCTATTAAAAATTAAATCAAAATAAATACATTAGCCCACTATTAACAGCCTCTAAAGAACAGTTTTGACTTTTCCAGGAATTTCTTTCTACCTATGAAATAACACCTGAGCTCATCTTTAAATTCTTGGAAAGGGAAAATTTGGCCATGAAAATTTGTAAAATTTCCTGTGTGGAAATGTTTGTGAAATGGATTGTCCTAAACAGAAAGAAAGGAGGACGAGGAGAAACTATTTTTTGCTGAGTACTTTCCAAATGCCAGATCCTTGTGCTGAGTATCGTCACATGCATTTCCTCTGCATTCATCTTGTGAGATAGAACTCTCTAACCTCCAATTTTTTAAAAATATTTTATTTATTTAAGAGAGAGAGAGAGCATGAGCAGTGGGAAGGAGCAGAAGGAGAGGGAGAAGCAGGCTCCCCGCCGAGCGGGTAGCTTGATGTGGGGCTCGATCCCAGGACCCTGAGATCATAACCTGAGCCGAAGGCAGACGCTTAATCTACTGAGCCACCCAGGCACCACCCTAACCTCCAATTTTTACAGATAAAGACACTAAGGCCATCTAGCTGGTAAGTAGCAGAAGCAGGACTTTAACCCTAGCCTGACTCTAAATCCTGTGCCCATTTTGCTCCATACACCAGGCACGTCATACCCATGAAGGGGTCAGCGTGTCAGGAGAAGAGATTCCTCACATGTTCTAGAGTGTTGGCACTGGAAGGGCCTCAGAGATGATCAAGTCTTGTCCAAGTATTTCCACCAGGAAGGTGGAGTGACTCTCAAAATCATGGAGCCAGTAAACATCTATTAGGTGGGGATTTAGGAAGAGATATAGGAGGAGAAATTCCTGTGTAAATATCTGGGCGTCTATCTGTCAGAGATGAAGTCCTTGCCGTGGAAAAAAAAATTCCTCCCCGCAAATTAACGCCCTATGTATCAGCATGGAATTTTTAACTGAATGCCCTATGGGCACAGGTGGATAGTCAGCAATGGAGACTCCTCGGCCGTCAGCTGTGTGCTATTCACAGTCACATCTGGAAGGTGGTACCAACCATGGCTGTGCTGAAACTGCCCCCCCCAACCCCCAGCATTTTTAACCACACCTCATTTCCGGGTGAGACCGGGCACATGAAGAAAAGGGGGAGGGAATGTTGGGCCTTCTGAGGA